GTAGATCGCGTTTTGCGAATTTAAAAATAAGATATTCATATAAAATTCTTATAATTAGCCAAAGAAATTTGAACGAGCTAGAAAGCTAACTAATATTTGGTGGTAATTAAATATCTAATTTTTTCAAGATCGATAATAAAAACATTTTACAAGTACAAAGATAATAAACAATTAATAGGGTAAAACCATGTATAACGTCTTCAGAAAATATTCCTGAAAAGTATGATAAAAAGATATTTCAACTAGAAAATTTCATCAAAAATATCAGTTTTATTTATCTCTATATTAACAACATACATAATAATGTATAACTACAACAATGTAAACTGAATTTACAATACATGTATCCAAAGCATTTAAAAAAATATAACAGTTCTGTATTGATAGCAAACTGTGCTTATCAGTTTTTAGCACTTTCTTTCTCCTTTAATTCGTCTATCAAATCCAATAATTGTCTACGTTTTTTGGAAACCAAACTTTTAGTTTGGCTATAATCACATCCACTTATTCGTCCTGTTTTCAAAATGTGTTCTGTAATTATATCTGTCAAACACAAAACATAAATTCCACAATCGTATCCATTATCTTGTTGTGGACAATTTGGTTCGGCAAATTTCTTCTCGGGTTCATCCTTGTCAAGGACATAATTCATTATATTCTTTGCTAGTTTCATAGCAGCATAATTACAACCTCTAAACGAATTAAAATGATAACATGTCTTTTCTTGTGTACAATACACTAGCAAACTCCAATGTGACCCTCCAGCTGATTCTCTACTATCGCAGTCATTTAAAGGGAAAAGTATACACTTGCATTCCGATATACTTGTCGAATTTAAAAATATATCATATTGAGACGGATCAGTCAGCTTCAGCAGTTGCGTTAATTCTGGACCAATAAAATATATATCTTTCTTTCCATTCTGGTTAATTGTGACATCCAAATATTCAAAATAAAATCCTATTATGACATCATTCAACCAATGCGGTCCTTGAAGTAATGTTACATCGCTTGCTCTGATTACACAGTCATAGTAACACAAAACAATTGGATCCTGATTCCTTTTTGCCATATTATCCAAGAATAGAACCAAATGTCTATTAACCATCAAGGACCTAAGTAGTAATAAAATGTAAAGTAATTATTATTGCTACTGACACATTTTACATAAAAATTAATCATAATAATAATACACTTAAATAGTAAGCAAACAGTTTTGTGAATATCTTAACATTAACAAATCTAAATTAAAAGTATAAAATTCTTTACATTTACAGAATAATAAAATCATTAAATGAATACTTACATTCATCATATGATTAAAAAATGATAGCCTCTTTGTTTAAACGTATAACACGATACCAATTTAAATACATATGTATAGTTGACCAAACTTTCTCGGTTTACATTAATAAGGATTTATATAATTCTCACCTTCTCCTATCATCCAAATTTGTTAATGTATAAAATCTTCAATGTATCAACTGTTCCATTTTTTAAATAAAATAAAACATGCATTACCGATAATTTGAATTTTCTTTTTACTGTACAATACTTGTAAATTTGAAATCTTCGGAGTCTGTAACAGGTTCATACAAACATGATACAAAATATAAAGCACTATTGATTCTTAACTTGACAATTTTTTCGGTTCGCCGTCGCCGTCTTGTAGTCAGAAAGTGAAACTAAAGTCATTCTAATGAATGTAGCGCCAATTTCAAAAATATGTACTGTATATAGAATTTTTTCATAAACAACAACAATAATATGATAATCCTATAACTATGTGCAACCAGGGACCATAATTGTTACAACCAAAGAGAAAAAAAAGGTTATGGGATAACAATTATTTCATTGACTAATTGAAATCTTCTTTCTCTCGTTGGTAAATGATGTTTTTAAGAGAAATTTATTTCGATCATTCACATTTATTAACCAAAATCGGTATTTTGTAATCATTTTATTGTTCGAATTTTTTTCTTTATTATTTTATGTTGATTATCTTAAATTTCAATAATAATCAACTTTCTATTAATGATTTCTATCGTAGAAAATTTTAGAATTACTTATTTTTTGTAAAAATATTTATTATCATAGAATTCTTGTAATATTACGAAAAAAGAAAGAAACACAATATAATCAAAACCAATGTAATTAAAAAAATATATTTACACTATATTTTACTGTCTCACAATGGTGTTCAT